TTTCGCCCCTCTTGGGGCTCATCAATTGGGTGCAGTCCCTGAGTTTCCGTCAACCCTATTTTCTACTTGAAACCAAATTGCACAAAATTAGCGAATATACACTCATTTGCAAACTAATCTGGTTGTTCGAGAGACTCATCTGGAACCCAGCTGAATCTCCTGTTAGTGATGTTTCCAGTCGAGGACGAATTTTCAGCGACCTTACGAGTAGTGCATGACAAAATATAAAAGTGACGTTCATTATTTATGGCACATATCTTCTGCACACATGGTTATATAAGTTTGACTTTGAGTTCGGTTCATGGCGTTCAAACGTGTGCTAAGTAAACCAGGGGATTTCAGCTACTGTTCTCGAGGTTTCCAGAGCTTTGGGATCATTGACAAAACGTGAACGGTGACAATAATTGTAGTATAACTGCGGCTGGAATTCTACCTGTGCGCTCCAAACTGCGGAATTGCATTCCTTGTAAACGAATAAAAGGAGCATTTGGTATACTGATGAATTACTCTTCCGTAGGGCATCTTCCTGAAGGATGTGGAAAGTTCTTCCTCCTAGGAAGGACACTGCTCCCCTATAAGAAAACATTCTGATTGGCTTTTTACGTCCACAAAAGTAAGTCAAATAAACTATTGATACGGTTGAATCTCGCCTTTAGTAGATTCTTCAACTAGGCGTGCTGCTCCACGCTGCCTCATGTCTCAGTTGGTACAAGGGCGTCACAGGTGAGATGGCGAAAATGGCTAGAGCGCGAATCACTGACCGGGAAGGTCCGTGTTTCGAACGCGACCTCTGCCTCTCGACTTCCCCTGTCTAGGCTTGGGCAACCTGATAGCACCTCAGCCGTCGTGCTTCCTTCGGGTAGCATGGCAGCTAGGCACTAAAAAGGTGTCACAGCTGAACACGCCAATTAGAAATTTACCGAAGTTCTCTTACAGTCCACCACCTGTTTCGCTCATCAAGTAAGTACAACCATTTGTTCCTTTTGCATAAAGTTCGACAAGTACATTCACTTGTATACTGCTCTGGTTTTCACGGGAGACTCACTTGAATCCCAGTTGAATCTCTCGTTTATGTTCTTCTTTAATTGGATGTGCTACACCAGTAGCTGGTTCGCCTCGTTGCGCCACAAGGTGTAAATCACTATCCGGTGACTACGCAGGTTGGTGAAATAATAAACTGTCAGTAAAACAGTGGGAAGTGCATGCAACATGGTTTATGGTTGTCACGAGTTCATGTCTGTCGGCAGAACATTCTCGGATCTCCGAGAGACGATTATTGAATGGGGAAAGATGCCCGTCAGTCAAAACCAGTACAGAATTCTTCGAACCATATAAACTCAGATTCGATCGCCATGAAGCGGACATTGGAAACCAATTTGCTAAGTTCTGTTTGAACCGGCAGCAACTCAGCTCTCTACAAGGATGGTTACTCTCTCCCTTTTTAAAAAAAATCTCTTCAGTGATGTGCTCATCAGGTGAGAGCTGGAGTATGCCGTCTACATTGCTTACACTTTTGAATAAGAACCGGAGGAACTAGAAAGGCTGAGTGAGGTCTTCCAGTCCTTTGGTATGAATTTCGTATGTACAAATTGCAAAGTACGATCCCTAAACATGCTTCTAAGAATCCAGGGAGGGACACTGGAGGCTGTGGGACGCCAAATGTATCGTGGAAGTTGCATTAGGTCTAAAGGTAGTTTTACAGACGAAGCCAATGCACGAATGTCGAAGGCTAAAAGTGTGTTTTCCAATTCGTGCCAACGGTGGCGTCAAAAAAGCATCTCATTGGACTTTAAGGGACGTGTGCGTCGGACTATAGCACGGCATACACTGCTATACGGCTGCGAGACTTGGTCTATTCGGTTGGAAGGTGAGACATCATCAGGTCTTTGACCACCAGTGTCTCAGAAGTATAGTTGGAATCGGCAGAAACCAGCGAGTTTGAAATGATGTAATAAGTGAAGCACAGGGTACTTCCACCAAAATTACAAACTCAGCTGCCTACGTTACGGTTTGCACTGTCTTTCTTACCTGATTCTTAGTGGCGGGGACCTACATTTGGACGTAATTTGGCACAACACAATGGAATCAAGGGTGCCAGGAGAAGTCTGGGTGTTGTTGATGCTATTCGCCTGCTAGAATTGGACCCGCGTGACCTCACTTGTGCTTAACTGGATACACTGGGTGACATGGCAGCGTTAATGTTGTCCATTCCTCTCCATATTGTCTGACTGAGTGTTGCTGGTGTAGGTACCTCGGATATTTGCGGTGAGCTAGACTAAGGACCCCTCTCTGCCCCATTTCTTGCTCCCTTCCATAATTAGGCTTTCATCAAACACATTGGCATGATTGTACGGCTGCGGAGCATCAGTGTTCTCATCTAGTGTTGCTCTCAATGATGATGATGATGATGATGATGATGATGATGATGGCGTGTTCATCCCATTGCTCAAGGTGACGATTTTTCGAATGAACTGTTGTTTCCTCTTTTTCTCAGGCTGTCTTATTTTAGACGGTTGATAGAATCTGATGAAACGAGGCGCGGATCTTGCCAACAGTGAAAATCTTCTTTTCCTGGGACTTCACAACCCCCCAGGGCAAGCTGTCATTTCTCATGCCCTTAATTAGTGGGGCTGGGGTTGGAGGGAAGGATCTTTGCGCTCTATTCACGGGTGGGATTTCGTCAATACGAGCAGTTTGGTAACACTTGGGAGAAGAAGGCATTGGTTTATTCCCAGGGCCGTCATTTTTTCAAGTCCACTAAACAGGGACGCTTTGCACGTCGAGGGTCTTGCTGCAGCTCGTCAATTAGATTGTTATTGAAAGCCTTCAACCCAAAAATTCACGTGCTTTTTAATAAATAGGCTAGCCGTTTTGCTCACCTGAGGCTTCTTGGGACCTAACCGCCATCGCCGTAGCTAAAATCAGCTCCAATGATATTCTGATAGAATTTTATAAAACCACCCGTACATCGAATTCACTCTGCTGTCAGAAAATCAGGTTTCTAGACACTGAAATAAAAAGAAAAAAGGCGACGCACTTCAGAGGACAACACATTAGAAACGGACCTGGAACAGACCGTACGTCCATTTTGAGAGCCTTGTTCCTGACACAGCAGCAAGAATTTTCTTGGATAACGCTCCGAGAATCAGGTCACAATGACTAGAAGACATATCCAAAACAGAAAGCCGAGCAGCAGGTGAAACCCAGACTGAAATTACCACCAAATAGAAATAAACTAGTCCGTGGTTCACCTCCACATCACTCGTCCGCTGTGCACATTCTTCGTGCTCCAAGAAGAGCGAGACTCGAGTCCAGTGCCTCCTTTAACGTACACTCACCAAAATATTTGCCCGAGTACAGTGGACCAACTGTTCAAATGAGAGGGATGAATACGTGAATTTCACAAATTTCACAGCCATCTACAGTGAACTACGTTCATTAGTCTTTCTGAGATGACCATGTGGCCAAAATGACATTGCAGAGATTATGACTAGGTACCGAGGCGATTTGCAGGCAATCCTCCAATCAAAACCTATCAAAAGTGTGCTTTTGGATAGTTCATAAACAGTTTTATGCGTGTCCAACACAGGGCGTTATACATTGGTCGTACAACAAGGCAATTGATGGAATCGGTGTAGACAGTCCAGTATGACTAACCCGAGAATACCGGTTTCACCTCAACTTCCATGCACTTGTTTGATTCTAATCATGGTTTCATTCATCTAGTGAACTAAGTCTCACTTGAATTCCACCCGGAATCCAGTCATTTCTGTTTCCGAGGCGATCTCCACCCGATCGCGGAAATCTGACCTCTGGGCACAAAGCATTCCTCACTGACAATCAAGCTCAACTGGCCAGCCTTAAACAGCCTATGTGATGACTGACAGTGACCTCTGTTCTACAGTTTCACAGTTAAACAGTGAACTTTTATTTTTCTGTATTTTGAATCATCCTTGCTTTTAGCTACGGCCTTCACACATAAATATTCTGTTGCAATTTGTTTGCTACCTCCTAATTCTAATGACGACTTCAGGTACCTCCGAACGTTTAACAGGTTACTCTCCGAATTCATGTCACCACTCACCACCTCATCTTCTTCGTACATAAAAGTATTCGTAAGAGTCGGACCTCTCTTTGGATTCGGGCTGCCCCTTAGTNCGCTCGATTCCCGTTGGTAACACTGACGTGAACTCACGCTGAATCATCTTACAAGTAAATTGAAATAGCTCGTGCGGCTTGACTTGACCCACTTCTTCGTCTTTAGTTCCAAAAACTAACCTCTAGGTCGTTGCACCGTACTATTCGAAAAGGGAGTGCTAAATGATTTTGGTCGAGTATCGGACTCGGTAAAACATCAATTTGCACCTCTTGCGTGTGGGCGTGTTTACGCCTATTCACTATTCCTATACACCCATAATTATCACGAAAACAAAGACAGTGAAAACTCGTAGCTGCAGTGGAGAGTAAATCAATGGACAAACTACTCCCTGAATCGAGGACAGCATACTAACATGTCGCACGGGATTCATGGATGGACCATCCTAGAAAGCAAATCACTCAGGCGTGACGTGGGACCACGTCAACCTGTGGGACACAAACTCAGTCCCAAGTCCGGAGTGTTCGGCTGTAGCCCAACTGTCACACCACCACGAGGGCTGGGATACCGCTAGGTTGTTAAAGCCTAGACAGGGGAAGTCGAGAGGCAGACATCGGGTTCGACGGACGGAACTTCCGGTCATTAAATTCACGCTCCAACCACTGAGCCATCTCTGCCTTATAACCGCCATAAGCTTACCAACGAATTTCATAAACAGATAGAGCCATCTGATGAATGTTCCGAGGAGATGTATTAGATTGTTTCAGTTTTTATTTCAATTGATCAAACCACCATTTACCCTTCCTCTCTAGTTTTGCAAAGAAGCGATGGTCCACTTGGCCTCAACTCCATGATAACTACTCAAAATAAAAAAACGGGAGTAATCATAACTGTTTCTCCCGTTCAAACTATTAGATATTTGCTTGGAAGGGCAGCACTCAAATACTATGACCGTAGTTTTTTTCCACAAGTACGTGCAGTGAGAAACGTGATTTCGAAAAAAACGCACGCGCGATATGTTGACGTGATTGCTGTGATCTGTGTGCTCCACAACCCGGCATTGATAGCATACCTGATCAGATATGGAATGGATCCATTAGCATAACGCCAAAATACCCATTATCAGCTTTCACACAATCAATATTACATGCTCATGAACCGAAACGTTGGTGATTTTGCGTCGATTCTACGGTACTGACTTGATATTAAAGGCTACGTGAAAGGTATTTTACTCTTGGCACCACAGGAAACTGACAAAATTAGTATCATTTCTCACCTCATCTTTGCAATAAAGGATGATCCTCGAAGCTCAACAACCTGATCTGTAAAGAACGTGGCGCCAACCTCTTTATAACCAATTTTTTCATCTAATATGTGCCGTACGCGCTCACTTTTGCCGAAGCCAGAATTCGACTGCAGTGGTGTGGAAGTTGGTACAAACCGATTCCTCTGACGAATGTGACTAACAGTCCAAAAAGTTGATCCCGCATGTTATTTTTCACAACTGGTTTTGGTAACACAAAGAGTTGAAACCGGTGAACTAATGGAACTTGGTTTTTGAGTTTTGCCTACTCATATCTGCTGAATTCGTATATCTAACATACAGTGCGCAAATTTATTTTAGAGGTACTCCACATCTTGCGCATTCATTGGATATGAAAGTAGTATAAAGCATAGAACAGGTATAGTATTGGTATGTAATTTTTCGGGAATACTGATGGCTCTTCTGAGTGTTGATAGAATGGGTCCTAATGCGCTGGCCGAGCTTATCAAGTGGCTTTTGAGAATTTGAGGAGATACTGATCACCAGCTGAGTGGGGAGTTGCTATTCCCAAGCTTGCTTTTATGTAGCGTTTGGCGAATAACTGTATAAATGAGGGGTTGGAACCTAACCAACTTACTGTAGTTTCATTGGTCTATTAGTGATCTGTTTTGCGTTGTAGTCTGCCATTTGTCTGATCTATCCGCTAGATGCCATCCTATTTGTCAATCCTTCCCCTGTTCTAAGTGGTGCCTTTGCGGCTATGGTCTGTCTTCCTGTTTTTTTTTGTTTGGTGGTCCGTCCACCGTTCACTTTTCATATGTTTTAATGTTTACGCTGATTTGTCCACTCACAATTGGCGGTCCGTTTTCTTGCACCGGATGGTTTGACTTGAACAATTCCTCCGTAAACGGTTCTTCTGCATCGACCTTGTCCGGTTCCGTGGCTTGTCGGCACCCGGGGTTTTTAGGTGCTTTGGAATTGTACAGTTTGATCCAATTCGAGGGCACAGTTCTCCCGTACGTTGCTTCTTTGATCACTTTTATGTTCAAGAGTTTGATGGCTCTCGAGTTTATTTGTCCCCAGATAGACTCTATCTCAATGTCCTTGCTTATTAACTGACCGCGTGGTACCACTAGTATGCAGATTCAGCTTCTTTCTTCGTCCACACTTGACTCAACCACTATGTGACATTGTTCCTGATCTTCTTGTACGGTGCACAGCGAGAATAAAGCACACTTTATGATAACATGCTTGTGATTCTGATTGTTAGTGTTCTACCAGCTTGTCCCGATCGTCGTCAGTTACAAACTTTGAGCCGAATTTCGTTATTAAACTTATCCTTCCATCGGTCCTGAAAGTGTTTTCCTTCGTGTGTCCGGGGGACTTTTGGCTTGTTTCACGTCGTTTTGTCCGAGTATTTCCAGGATCCTTTGAGAAATTTTCGTAATGTAACGTAGTGTGCAATGCCTCGTCATCAAATTTTTATTATCGGGTCGTAGAAGTGTTGTACTTTTTTAAATCTTGATTCCTTTGGGTTGCGGCGAGTCCTAATGCGCTTGAACAGTGCCCGAATAGAGCTCTGTTTATACCAGATTGGATAGTTCTAGTGATAGCTTAGAAGTTGTTCCGTCTACGTCACGTTGCTGATTGGCTTTGTCCAGTGAAACGCCGGTCCGTCGAATTTTTTCCATTCGTGAATGTGATATCATCAGGGAGGCTCTTTAGTAATTAAATTACTCGTTGCATCCTATTAGTTCTGATGATGACGGGTTTGTCTTTCCAAAAGCGAATAAACCCACTAAGATTGACATCTGGTGGCAAGACACGCTCCAGCATTTGCATTGAGACGTCGGTGAGTGGATCTGAAGTTGGAGGTCCCAAGTTTGTGGCCAGGTACAAGTCGAGTGATTTTCAGACGTCTTCTCTCCCCAGGCACCAGTTCGGAGACTCATCGACTTTCCAACAGTTTAGTGACAGTTTTTCTCGACTGATCCCAACAGTGAGCTCAACGAAACCAACACTACTAATATTCGACTTCAGATTATCCGTCTGCTGATGACTGAGTTCTGTGAGCCATTCGTCAAAACTTCCACCTGCCCCCATACATGTATTTCACGCGAATAACAATTTTTTTTACAAGCTTATTGGTTTCCTCCTGCCTTAGACGGCGGTGCACGACACGTTACCTGAGCAAGTTTTTTATTTCGTGTACGGCAGTGAACACTGATTTATTGCTGTCGATGATGATGATGATGATGAAATAGCCTGATTTTTTTTCATGACGACGTTTGTTAGCAACGAGTAGAATGAATGGATTCTCAGTTTTCGTCGACTGTCCACTCTACCGTGTTCAACAGGCATACTGAAAGTTTCGTTGAGTGAAATAGCAGATATGACGGTTTTGCGGAGTTTTCTTGGAAGTTCCAATCCAACCCGGTGGATTTCTGTCCCTAAACTGCCCGCCTTTTTCAAGCTAACAACGATCGCAAGTGCATATCACTCTCAGTATGCTGTGTTCTGAGAAATGTTGGATGAGTAGTGCTCAAAAATGCTTCCCGCTGATGGCAAAACTGGAGCTTGCACCGAGAAGAACGGAAGCCTTGTTCGGGCGCAAATGTTTATTGCCATCAAATCATCCAAAATAAATCCAAATTCTATACAGGATTGGTGGTGTACTGAGGTCTGAGTACTATAGTTTCTGTAAGTGAGAATAGCGTGAATCCTACCGTTCGTGATCGGCCCTGCAACGAACGTCTTCTTTCTGTAACTCAACCAGACGCGAAATGGTCACACTCGGTGCATGATACTTTAAACCAGCAATCAGAGCAACGCCTCGGCGTCTAACAAATCTATGCTAAGCACGATCGCACAAGTAAGCACAAACCAGTTCGGTGTTAGTGACTGTCTATTCGCCTTCCAACTGGATTCTACTGAACAAATCTATGCTAAGCACGATCGCACAAGCACAAACCAGTTCGGTGTTAGTGACTATCTATTCGCCTTCCAACTGGATCCTACTGGCAGTTCAGAGGTCGAACATCAAGCACACGTAAGCGGACGTGTACGTCAGCACAACACAATCCTTAGCCTTCTGTCTCTTTTTACCGCGTAACATTTTACTTAGTCCTATGTTGATCTGCATGAGTAGTTAGTTATGTGTGTCGAAATCCTGGAGTATTCATCTTACAGCCACTTGTGTTCTGGCAATTACAGTTCCTCCTGTCAATTGTTGAACATTCATTTCTTTCCGAGTCAAACATCCGATCTGGCCGCACTTTCGCTCTGGCTTTACGGAACTGTCGACGTGATTTTATTAGCCCACCGAAGTTTGCACTCTGTAGACATATCGTCATGTGGGGCACTATTTTGAACTAGGTAGACTTACTTTGACTGTTATTGACCAAACCGAACTGATTCGAGTGGATTCCATCGGTCAGAGTTTTGAATCCGCGACCTCACTGCTCATAGGTTGAGCACTGAGTGATTGTTGTAATTTCAGAATGAGTAGCGTTATATCCTGTCTAACTGTGAATCAGCAGCTCGCGTCTGTGCGTTTGTGCTCAACCTATTAACCGGAAGTCGCGGGCTCGCAGATACTTTGAGCTTCGTTAGATGCGCACCTTTGGTAACTTCCCACAAAGATGAAGCAGATGTGCAACACTCCTCAGCTTCTCACCAGAAAATGGTAAAATCTAGGTCTCAGTTCAAGGGTTACGCTTGCGAGGAGTACAAATGAGCTTGCGGTCTAACACTAACATCTCCAGAGCCATAAGTTCCAGCCATTCTGGAAGGCTAAACAGCTCTTTTTGACATTTCGCGCGCGTCCGATAATAAACGCTCTAGTTCTGATTCCGCTCCCGCTACAAGGAACAATTTAAAAGAAAAAATGCTGGTCTTTACTAGCAGCTTTTGTGGCCAGACAATGAGGCATATTTTCCGAAAAGATCTGTGACCGCGAGTGGTGGGTGAAATGGGCTTATCTCAAACGAAATCACCAATCATTTTATGCATCATAGGGATGCCGTTGCTCGTGCATGTTCAGAACCGGTCAAAAGCGGTGTGATTCAAACTTCTATCGATCGCACTGGCCAGCTGAGTTCTGCCGCGCCAGCCGTATCCCTTATTCAGAAAGAAATATCCAAAAGTCAATTTTCAACCGACTGATGTTTAAAAAGCATCAGCAGTTTAATAATTTTTAGGACACAATTAGTTTGACAGAGGATTCTGCGACTAACCGTTTGTTTTTCAACCAGTTCGAAAATAAACAGATTATTTTCATACGTTTCGGACAGTCTATTTTCTGGACAAAGCAGTGTAAGTTAATCCCCCTGGGGCAAGGGAACTTAAAAATCACCTGCTTCCAGTGGCTTCCTCGTTTGGAGAAAAGCTGTGTAACTGACCTTCTTTAATTCACTTCTGACAGGCGAGGTGATTTAGTGGCTAGAGAGAAAGAAACCGACATCCGCATCATGACTCCCCTTGTCTGGGCTTGGGCAATCTGGCAATATCACAGGCCACATGCTTCCTTCGGGTGGCGTGGTGGTTAGGCACCGAAGGGGTCCTACAGCTGAACAAGTTCATTTCTAATAGTATTTGCGCTCTTTTAAACGTTTTTACATCCGGGTGCCTCCTTAGTCTTTTGGAAGGTAGGTCTATCAAAAATATCTCTAAATCGGTCGTCACTGTTGATCCGTTTGCTAGGCTTGGTGGTTGGATTGCATGCGCTTTGCCACTAGCCAAGAAGATGTCGCCCTTGCGGAATTGGATGGAGAGATCCCACGTCTGCATGCACATTCATCGTTTATAAAAAGTGTCCAGTGGATCGCAGCAGGCTTTTTGTGTAATTTGTTTTGTCAGCTTTGAATATCTGAGTTGCTCTTTGCTCTCATCTCATTTGTTCGTCCATTTCGCCGGTCCTGTTCGTCGGTTGTACTTGATCTTGTTCGTAGTCTCGGATTTGGTATTCACTTCAAGTAGTTCAGTCGGCTTTCCGATACCAGATTCAAAGGAGGTTTTGTAGACTGCCGTTAGACAGATGAATTTAGGTGTCCCAGGTCCGTTGAATAGAACTAAATAACTGGGTAAAGAAAACAAGCAGAAATATTTCATCTGTCTGTCTGAGACTGGGGCTTCGCTTAACAAGAACTACGCAGCAGGGAACCAAATTATATCTGCATCTACTGAGGCAGACAGGAAGAAGCTTTTTCTTGACCAAATTCTTCGTCCTCCCCACTTTCTTACTGACTCTATTTAATACGACCACCCTGATTTTATTATAATCATTGATTTGCCCTGTCTTCTGATATTCATCCGCAATCATGAACGGTAATGTAGCTAGCGACTGACGTCGCAACACAGAGGCTTAATGTTTTGTACTCCTCATGCCAGTTTGATATCATAATTAAATCCAAACTGGGTTGCAGTTTTTTCAGAATGATGCCTGAATATTTTACTTGTGAGCTGGGATTGGGCTGAGTCTTGCGCTTGAACTACATCAGTTTGCAGATGAGTGCATTTCGCAAACTGTGTACAATTTGAGTTCGAGCAGGGCAATTCGGGGACGGCGTTTATATGATGACTGGATGAGATGTCTCACTGGTTAGAGTGTGAATTTACTGACCGAAAGGTTCGTGGTTCGAACCCGGCCTCCGTCCCTCAACATCCCCTGTCTAGGCTTGGGCAACCTGGCAGTATCACAGCCCTCATGCCTCCCTCGGTGGCATAGCAGTTAAGCACCGAAAGGGTGTCACGGTTGCGGTAAAAAAAACTTGTCATTATAGTTACATCAAGGAAGCATACTCAACCATCTCGAATATCGTACCGAACGAAATCACCACCTATGTGGAGTGGTTGAGAGGCAGACTCACTCATCGGAAGGTCCGTTGTTCGAATCCAGTATCGCCACCTCTACTACTCCTTTCTAGGCTTGAGCAAACTGATGGTATTCCATCCCTCGTGATTCTTTCGGAGGGCACGCCAAATAACCACCTAAAGGGTGTTGGAGTTAAAAAATTTTCAGTTAAAGTTTACTACAAGGGGTTATTTGTACCTGGATGGCATCCATAAGGTTTCTGTGATAAGCACACTGGAAGCTAAAAGACTGCACGCTCCGCGAAGTGGTTTGCCTTTAGTAGAGAACACCAAACTGTAGTACCTCACTGAAGACATTCGGTCGGCAACTATCCTACGGCAAATGCGTTACATAAGTGCTGCGCTCAAACGATCTACGATCTCGTTAATTAATCTCTCAACAGCATAAACGTGGAACGTTTCGTGAACGATTCACTTCCGTGCATCAAATACAGGCAGAATGTGCTTGGTGTGAACTTTTCTGTCCACAGCGAATTTGGAAACTAATGTAAGAGGGATGTTTGCCAGAATGGTACCAACTTTACGAAACTTCGTGGCACAAGTTTGATGTTTGTAAATGGCATGGACTATCACCGTCCTTGCCAGGATTAGATGTTGTATACCAATTTATCCACTAGTGTTTCGTAAACGATCGGGCAAGCTAGTCCGCAATTTCCTCAAGACCTTGACCAAGATGCCCTAGTCAGCTTGAATACATCGGGTTTCTACTGGACTATACCGTCATCCATGATGTCAACAAAACTAATTGGCTCATGTTAGTCTTACCGGCCTGTCTACCCTCACCCATCAGCAATGGGACAAGCTCTCCGTCCAATTGGAATAGGCACCATCAACTGAAATCATCCAGCATTGTTTCCTGACCTCACCCAACAGAAGTCTAATACGGTGGCACAAAAGTTAATGAGACATTCCAGCTAGGAAGCAACTTTATGCTGGTCACTAAAAACAGGCAAATGCCACGTTCTGCAGGGTATCCAGCTGCTTATCACGGGGAGACATTGATAAGGCATTTAGTTTGATAGTAGGTGGACAAACAGCGTCCTTGAAATGGGCTTGTATATCAAACACCAACCAACCAGCCAGCTTTGCTTGCCGCTACAGCGACTGTGATCGGATAAAACGTCTATTGGGTTACGAATCATTTTGTTGCAGATTTCAACCACTACTTACTAGGATGACGACAGT